CTAGCGTAAATCATCGTAAATTTTGCGACGCATAAAGGAGATGAATGATTTCCGGTTCTTTATTGAAAATGACCTAGCTGTTCATTGAGCAGTTTTCCTGCCAAAACTTTTGAGTGCCCGTACTTGAGAACCTTGCATAGCTGGAGACTGAGTCTGAAATATTTATGTTACAGTTGGACAGGAGGCATCCCTCTAAAATTTCAACTTTCCAGCTTTTCTGGTTCTCGAGTTAGTAATTTTCCTGCCAGAACTTCTACATGTCCATACGTGAGTACTGCGTATATCGGGAAACTGAATTTGAAATCATTAAGCTATGCGTGTTCAGGAAATATGTCCTTAAAATTTCAACTTTCCAGCTTTTCGGATTGCTGACTTTCCCGACAAACCTTTCACATGCCTGTACATGAAAGTTAGGCACATCAAGGAGCTGAATTTAAAACTTTTAGGTCGCGCATGCGCAGAGAATATCTCTGCAAAGTTTCGGCTCTCTGTCCCTTCTAATTCCTGAGACCACTCCCGCCAAAAAATTGCATATTTTTTAAGGCGTCCATACGCGGCACCCAGGCTCTTACCAATATGCGTTTTTGCATTTGCATGTATGCAAAAATGCATAAAAACTCATTTTCCTCTGGCTTTTAGCACTGTTAAAATCCATTGTTATCTCATTGTTTTGTAAACGGAGACTGTCGGGAATAGTCTAATTTATGGTACACTGAGTAGCAACTATACACTAACAGCAGACAGTGGATCCTTGTTCTTAAAATTGACTCAAAAGTGAGTTATAAGCGCTCGAAATGAACTGTGCGGGGATTTTTGCCCCGTGTGACAAACCACCGAACTATCATATCGTTTCTGAGATTAAGCAATACTTATCGCTCCAGCAAAATCACATTAATGTGAATGCTGCAACATTTTTCCTGTCAGGTTGTTGAATTTGGTTCGATTGACAAAATGATGACACAGTTTGTACGACGCATTTTGCTAGCCTTATTGACCAAAGCTACGCAATCATCGTTGATCGATATATTCAAGAATGTGGTCACTTCACCGCAACACAAACTCTTCTCCGAGGGCCTTCAGATATTCATACATATGGCACTGAAAAATCACCCAGGAAAAGACAAAGACAACGAATTGCTTCGGTCGAGAATTGAACTGCTCGATAGCATCTGGGGCAGCGATCGTTTTTGAAACATTTTCACTTCCATCCATCGTGTTTCTTTTTTTTTTTTTTTAAATTTATACGGTACAAAAGATTCCTTAATGCTCTTCTATTAGGATAACTGGGATATTTCTGGTGTTACTGGAGTCCGAGTTAGACCAAACTCCTGAGATATAAGCCTCACTGCTTGGTGTATGTCGCGTGTATTGCGTGCAGGAACAGTTATCAGTAAGGCAAACAGCATCTCCAGCTTATCGGATTTTATTTTCTCATGTAATCGCAACGAGATCTTCCATTGTTTTCATCGGACGGAACTGTTACGGACAGCTTTGAAACAGAAGAATAGAAGGATTTCACTTCAATATCGAGTGAAATTTTATGACGCATCCTGCGTTTCATCCTTTAGCTGTATACACAGACCGAACAGCGCATGCGGGTAGAAGTGGGAATCATCAGTACAGCCTCCTACCTGCCATGTTTTGAATAGGTATGTAGCTGATTTGTAAAACGGATGACAGGAAGAAATGGATATAAGTGAAAGAGCAAATAAAGTGAGAAAGGAAGGAGAGAAGGGAAGTTAAAACGTGAAGGAGCAAATAAAGTGAGAAAGGAAGGAAAGAAGAGAAATTAAGACACGATACGGACAATCATTATATTTATTTAATTATTAGGAACAATCATTATATTTAATTATTAGGAAGAGCCGTTTATGAGAATAGACTACTGACTAGGCGTTATTTTCTAAACCATCAGGGAAGACGAATTTGCTCAGTACTGATCGGTTCCCGAAGCAAAATCTGAGAACGGAGCGTTCTAGTCTGGCAATATCAAACTCTTTTTGCTTATTGATACTTATAAGTCGCCTTAGCTCAGTTCTGGAATCCCTCTGGAAGAGTGCATATACGTGCATAACGAAAAAGTTGCGAAATAATGACACCTTCTTGCACCGTTTGGTCCATATCACTATCTGGATACGCTCCGTGACTTATGGTGAATGGATAATCTGAGGTCTTATTTTATGCATTAAAAATGCATCTGCCCTGCTGGCATGAAATTTCGAGGTCTAAGAA